GCGTCATGACTCAATTATTTATATGTTTTAATAATGACTCAATTAATTGCGTCAAATAATTGCGTCAATTGCGTCAATTGTGTCAAGGATCTATGAATTTCAGTAACATGTATAGTTCTTTATGATTAAATAAATAAACGACACCAATCTGATTGCAGGATAAAAAAAAAAAAAAAAAACAAGTAATATTATTTATATTTATTTAATATATAGTATATAGAAATTTTATTTATTATATATTTACTATATATTTTGTTTTTTTTTGTTTTATTATAATTATATTGATTATATTGTTATATATCCTATATATTTTTTAAAGAATTAATATTATATATTATATATAATTTATTTATTAACTTGAAAATGACTATAATAATAAAAAAAATTTTGCAAATATTTTTTAGAATTTTTATAAACATAAAATTAATTGGTTTTTATTTAAATGTTTTTAACAAAAGAATTTTATTTTAGACTATTATATATAGTAAGTAAATTCTAAATTAGAAAATTAAATGATAAATGATAAAAAATAAATATTTAACAAGTCAAGCAACAAATCATTTAAAATATTTTATTAATAATTTGTTTATTTTAAGTTTGATTAATTTAGTCTTGTAATGTAATTCGTTATAACCTCATTACTTATTATTGTTATTTTATATTATTATTTAAATTTAAATTTTAATGATATTAAAATTTTTATTTAAATATTAAATAACAATGATCGATTCGATATATTTGGAATATCCAATTCCACTTATTGGTTTAATTCGATTTATGTGATTTTATATAGACAGTTTATTTAATTTAATTATAAAAATTGTAAATTATAATTTCAAGTTTAAAAATAGTCACTTATGTATTAAATATATCAATAAACCCTATATTATTTACATTATTGATTCAAGTCAATGTTTTACAATATATAAATATTTACCAAATATTATAAAAACATTGATTGTATAATAAAATTTATATTTAAATCTTTATTTAAATCAAATAATTGTTTGACAATTGTTTAATAATACTATCGCACGAAGAATATCTTTTTAGAAACCTTTTCAATCAATGCTATGGTGTTTGACCGATTGATTTGAAGTGATTTTATTAAACCGGTTTAAAGGATAATGGATATATGCAGTATCTCGATTGGGAATATATTAGCACAGGCTCAATGAAAGTAATAAGGTGTTCTTCCCTATATAATAAACACTTTTTAGGAAAAAAGGGGTTTAGTACTTATAAACTAGTTTAATTCCTGAAAATTGTGCACAAAAATAAAAAATACGAAAAGGTTTTACCGTAATAGAGTTTATTCAAATACTATAGTGTGGTAATTGAATATTTACATTTGTTCGTTGTGAATACCTGGCCACTGTCGTGTCATCGAGAATTGCGTAGAATAAAAATGACAAACCAATACGTTAGATAAATAATTACTTCAATATTTCAGATTTTTTTTTAAAAATGTTTCATTTGTCAATTATATGAAATTTGTAATAAAACAAAACTATTTATTTTTAAAATATGAAGAAAGAAACTTTCCCGCAAAGGATTTTGTTTCATGGTATTGAATGAAGTATGTTTGTCATAAATATACAATAAATTCTATGTTTTTGTGTAATGTACGCTTTTTCGAAGTCAAATAAGACTCGACTGATTGTTTTAGTTTTTCTGCTTCGGGTTAAAGTTGATATCTTTAATGGTATGTGTACTATCAATCTTGATAAAATCGATTTATGATAAAATCTGAACTTTAGGAGTTCGAACCGAGACAATTGTACAGTGCAAAGAGATTTCGAAATATGTTATATTTAAACATAATTTGTTCATGATAAAGGAAGCGAAACTTCAAAATATAATGAATTGCATACCAAATATTCCATATCCTTTAGATATAATAATCATCCTCCATTTTTTTCACAATGTCGTGTGTATCAACAAATCAAAATGTTTATAAAAATTGGATTTTGTCCAATATTCTCAATTTAAGGCAGAGCTTCATTGATTAAATGAAAGTTTTATATCATTCTTTAAAAGACAGTAACTTGATGCTGGTATCCTTAGATGATACAGTAGCAGCGAATTACTTGCCCTAGGATTTATTATTTTATATTTTATTTTATAATCTCTAATAAACACCAATATTATTATTAACTTCAATAAAACGTTGACCGAATGGAAGCATTCCCGACTCATTACACAGAGGGAGCGTAAATGATACAGTATGTACATAACGAGTGAATTTATGTTTCCTATTATATTAACATTTCATGTCCTTCATTTTATAAAACGAGAGAATACAAACCCTTGAATAAGTAATAAAATATATTAAGTATAATAAACGTAACTGTAGTAATCATTAAATATTACAACACAACTACGTACTTTTTATTGTCTTTTTGTACATCACAGAAGTCATGATAATCTCGCGTAACAGTTCGAATCTTCTAATTGCTTGCAATATTAAAAATGCATAAATTATAACAATGGGCTATAAGATAGTTCAATAGTATGACACCTGTTCGTCAGTAAATTATCACGAACCGTATGCTTAGTCGGAAACTATTTATGATATAGTACAGTGACAATGACCATCAAATCATTCATAAAATGGCAAAAATTGATTAAATAATATTACTTACGCAGAGTCAAATACATACACAAAGTTCTAGAACGTTATATTGGAACATTTGTAAAGCGACAATTCTGAAAGAAAACTAGATTCCGGGCTTTAATTGTTTTGTTAATAAATATGCTTAACTCTGTATACTTCATGTTTTACGTTAAAAAATTAATAAAAAATTCCAATGTCCTTGAATAAGTAATTAGAGTAAAATAATACAGTAAGCTTTTTAATATATACTAGGTGAATGGAAACCATTTAAAGTCCGAAGGACTATTGCTAACACATGCAACAACATCCCATATTCATACATTCCTTGCTTCCCCCTTCATCCTCTTTCATTTACGTAAATCAGTAAATACAAGATCGTATAGTTTCCGCACTCATCACACTACCATAACTATCGATCGCTATCATGCCAAAGATTTTTATCGTGATTCGAAAATATACCATGGAATCGTGACCCAAAAATCTAACTCTAAGGACATTAATTGTATTAACTGTAAATGAGTTATACTGTATAATAAAAAACTCGTTAAATTAATATTCTTTTATCACGTGATCGAAAGGTACACACACATGCGGATCACTATTGCTGTACATTAGAGTGTCCTTCGGACAATTAAAATAACATTAAGTGAGAATTATAACATCATGCTAAACATTTTAACTACATAATTGTGAGTAGAAAAACTTTCCTTTTAACTTTGTAATAGTCTTCTTTAGGAATTATACAATATGTACGATAAAAGAAACTTTCTAAAAGTCGATTCTACACTATTTCATTTATTCTCTTTTTTCACGTGCAAAATGGGTTATATATAATTATAACAGAGCTCACGTTCTCTCCTACGGTGCATCTTGGTTCAACTTTTTAAAGCTCTATATAATGGTTATAAAAAACAGAAATTGTCTAAACATCGTAATTTGTTTTATGCTGAAACTCTAAAACTAATAAGATGCATTACATATTTTAACATCGCTAGCACTATTTTACTATCCGAACATTGTAAAGTTGGACCATAACACAATCCACAAAAAAAGATCCTAAATTCTATTATAATTATACATAATCCAACTTGCGCGTGATTAATAGTTGATGAGATAAAGTAAAATCATTCTACACATTAGGTTTTCTTAAATTCGGAATCCGTAAACTTTTCAAGTCTCTTTATAACTTCTTTATATCTAGAAAACCTGATTTAAGACGATTGGAAAAGAAATAAATCAGGAAAGTTCCTTGTATCAAGTTTCCATAGAAAATGTCCTACAAATTCACTCGATCTTTTTTGTTCATGATAGTTCGAGCATTGAATTGTTGGATAATCATTTTAATGGCCATCCTTAAGAGTGTATTCATTTGGCATATCAGTTAATAAAATAAAGATAGCCTGTTGAAGTTTTTCTTCGAGAGATCTCATTTTAAGAACCAATGAATTCTTTAATCTCGTAGCTGGAGTTTGTTGATTACGAAAGAACAGGCGAAGTTCCTTGTTATCTTCCTTAGAAAATAAGGTCAATCCGGGAATAAGAGTTAAATTATTCCATGGGATATTGAGGAATTCTAACAGAAGTTAAAGGGTATCGGACAACAGTCAAAAGAGAGAAAGTTAAAAAGTTTCGATCGGGAACTGCCTTAGGAGTCAGAGCCTTAGTATTCTTTTATTGTACATAGCACGAATTCTACTCTGGTCTATAAAATTTTTCTTAGTTTTATTAAGCATGAAAATTAGTCCTATTGGAATTATTGACGAGTACACTATTCCTCTGCTTTTATCAATTGGTCTTCTCTTATTGTTCTTAAATTGAGATGCGTCAATTTTATCCATGAATGCTCTCAAATGATGCTTAAACTCATTTGTTAAGTGGTCATTTAGATTACTAAGGACTTCGAGCCACGTGATTAATTCTTCATTTTGATCGTCTAATTCGAGGATTTTGTGATCTGACTTCGAAGTGATATATAGTACTGTAATTGCAATTGATAGGCAACGTAATGTTTACGCTTGTTGGCCCTCGGCATTTTGATCATTGGCCTCTTGGTTATTGGAAAAAACTTTTGAACAAAGGGCCAAGGACTTCTTCATGAGTTGCGTGTGATAGATATTGAATGTGGTTATATTTGAAAGGCACACCGCTATTACAGAAGATCTTCCAAATGTTAACGGTAGCCTCATATGAGCATTT